TGAACAAATTTGTCAAACTATTCCAATAGAAAATTTGTAACGAACAGTAAGAATTATTGAGAATGTAAATTAACTTAATTTTTTTCTTTTAGAAATTGATTACTTCTGAAAAAATATCTCTTTGTCACTAGCCCGAATAGGACGAGACACGCATCCTGGATTCCACTGCTAGCCACTATCCATCTTTGCTTATAAAAAATTTATTGAATAAATTTGTCGAACAACGATTTTGATCTGCATATTAAGGTCACTAGTCATTTTAGTCTGGAATACAACTCATTTATAGCTAACTACGAAATATATCACAGCGACTTACCCTGAATAAAATGTTGAAGGCATTTTACATTACGAAGATTTGCTTAATTTTATCTCTGTATATTAGTATGATCTTTAGGAACTGATGGTATCCCAAACCTCCTTTTTAAACAATGCGCTGACTTTCTATGTTATCCATTCACGACTATCTTTAACAGGTCCTTTTCATCTAATCTCATACCGAAAATGTGGAGAAAGATAAAGATAATCCCTGTACCCGAGAAAGTATCTGGTGGTAAGAATGTGAAATTTAGACCTATTGCAATAACTTCACCCTTCCTCAAAACAATGGAAAAATTATTAATACTTCCATTTTAGCCTGCGATAAAAGAGCATATTGATCCGTATCAGTTTGCTTACAGATGCAAAAGAAGCACCTTAGATGCTGTCAGAAGTATGTTTGATGTGCTTTTCTGGACTATAATTCAGCTTTTGATTCTATACCAAGAAAACGTTTACTTAACAAGTTATTCAGCGTCAACACTGATAGCTGGATAACCAACTGGCTATGTTCCAAGCTCTCTGGAAGGGAACAGTACACTGTATTTGGAGGAAAGTGTTCAGAGTCTCTACTGCTCATGAAGGTGTACCACAAGGAGTTGTTCTCTCATTTCTTCTTTTCTCTATTTTTCCGCATGATCTGCCATCTTTCACAGAAAACACTTTTGTGAAATATGCGGATGATCTCACTGTGTGTATGCCTATCTCTTCCTCTTTACATCCCATAGAAATGAATGAATTTTTGTCTCGTATTGATTGTTAGTCTGTTAGTAATGGTCTTATACTTAATCCGTCTAAATGCCAAGTTGTTAACTTTAGCATGAGACATGAACTGCATCTAAACACCATTTTTAGATCCCATAATGCTAGTACCATTGGATACTCTTTGATAAACACAGTGTCGAAGGTCAATTATCTTGATGTTACCTCTTCCGCTGATCTCTCTTGGTCTTCTCAAGTTTTATTGTTATCGAGGAAGGTTTTCCGTCTGACTTACTACATAAAGAGATTGTATGCTCTTGGGATTACTCGTCATTTATTCTTACAATTTGTTAATTCTTGCATATCACCTATTATTCTTTACTGTTCTTCATTATTGTTTCCCGAGCTTTTGAGAAAAGACTTTACTGTATTGCCGAGAGTGCTGAATGCAGTGAGCAAGGTGGGTGGTGAATCTTTCAAGGTCATCATTAATATGATCGTGGATAGACATCTAAAGTCTTGCAAACTCCTGATACGTGTCATCAGATACTAACCATCCCCTTCACTCTTATCTTTCTCGTTGTACATCTTCTGGTAGAACGAGATGTAATTACATTAAAATCGATGCACGTAAGCAAAAGTATAAAAGTTTTATGATACCTTACATAGCAAATATACTCTTTGAAGAACAGGTTGTTAGAGTTAACCTAGTCAATAACCTGCATTCTTAACATGTCCCTTATTTGAAAAGTTGTACAGTTTTTTTCGGTTTTTTTAAAATCCTTTTTTGTCTTTGTTTTTTTGCGTAAGAAACTTGTTGAAATACCCTGTGCTGAGGTTTCTATATTGTACCAAAATATAATATTGAATAAAGCCATTAATAATAATAATAAAAGTGTTGGTAAGTGATGTGATTTATATACGTTCATTTTGACAATACCGATAAACAGAGTCACTTCTAATATATGAATATTGCTTATATGATTAGATGGATCGAATGACTAAGACACAGTGACATTTCAATGATTACGTCTACTATGTAGTACGAAAACAAAATGTAGGAAGTACCACGAGGATTGAAAATGGAATTGATAACTCAAATGAACAACAGTTTATTATCGGTTTGTTATTATATTGATTATTTTCACATTTCTAGATGCTACTCTCTAGCAGGAGAATATTTTGCCAACCGATGCAAGGGTGAGGTCATTTTTCTTCGAATAATCCTATTTCTTATGTTATGATTTTTTATTAGACAAAAGTATAAATCTTTCGTCTAACCGCTAAATAAATTCATTTATAACAACAGTTACGTATGTTTTGATTTTGTTGTTTGCATCACAAGTTATAGAATCTATGCAATTTGCAACTTCCGAATGAATGAGCTTGATCCTTTTAAGGTATGCAAATTATTTACGATCGTCACTGATTAGAGTAATTCGTGTATACTCGTCAACTATTTTGTCTACACGATGTGCTGGTCAAATATTAAGGTATGATTACTAGGTTCATTCACTTGTCTGTCTTGTCATCTTCTTAGATGACTGATAAACGTATCGTATATATTTCGAATAAAGTTGAATTTTATTAATGTTTATATATTTATCAGTTTAGCAGTCACCACACTAAATTGAAGCAAGTTTAAAATTAAGACAGTTAGTGTGGTGACTGCTTTCAAGGTATTATGAACACCGTAGCCTAAAGGTTAATCGAGGACTTTTTTAATCTGTATGTGAAGCTGATGTAACTGTAGAAGACTGGGATATTATCAATTAATATTCCACATTATATGGATTGGATAGTTGAATACCTCCTGTTTTTATGACGTTGTGTGTGAAGATTAGAGTGAATTAGATATACTCTGTAACATGAATCATTATAAAATGGAATGAGCAAATGTACAAATAATAAATCCTAATTTGTTTGCAGTTCAACGGTTGCTAAAATTCAATACTTCAACAAACAACACTGTCTAAGTGTCCTATTTGTATATGCCTTATTTTGACTAGAATAGAATAATTGATTTAAATTACGAACTGATATTAGTTAGATCACTAATGGAAATCTGGGAGCACTGAACAGTCGTTTCGTCGCTGTATGGAACTTCTCAACAATCCACATCCACCGCTTAACTTTGAATACCCAGTCTCGAGTGTGAACGGTTCACTTCCAGACCACTCGACATGTAATGTATGGTACTTATGTCTACAAACATAAGTAATATGTAACACAAATCAGAAGTGGAATGCCTAGTGGCAGAATGTTGTGGAGATTGAATTGATTACAACAGTAATGTAAACAGAGAGTAGTTGTAATAACAATAAGCATGAAGGAACGACAAAGTTTGTAGAAGTTAATTGACGGAAGATGTGAAAATGAAGTATATATTGTATGGTTTTTTATATTTTATGAACACATTCCGTAATTTGTATTAAGCAACTAATTAGTTGTTTGCACCAAGTCCTCGTTCACTACAGACAAACATTTAACGCTATTAATACTCTACTTCAATTAATTCCCGGTTATATTTAACAGTGGTCCAGTTAGATTCAGTTCGTCATTGAAACCATGAAAATTTGAAAAACTCCTCAAGTATTTGCATACTTATGTAAACTATGTGCATGTCGTTCACTAGCTTCTAGATAAAGTTCCCGGAGTTCTGTTGAGAAGTTATTGTCAATGGAGTTCAGTCACTCCAAGTATGAGACAGTAACCATCCTGATGAGATGGATAATGTTTGTGCAGTCTCGTGAAGTGACTGAATTTAAGCCGTAACATCACTATCCGCCATTTTGTATATTTTGATTTGAAGCGTTTATACGAGAAAACGAAATTCCAGAGTTCGATTCTCGGAGACAAAGTTAAAAGTACTCACTTCTCAGAAGTCTCGTACTGAGACGAAACGAAAGTCGAGTGATGATTTATCAAGAACCAATTAGTGGTCGAAACATGAAAATTATAGATTTATTAACGTGTAGTTTTATGTCAGTTTTGTAGAAAACAATTGTTTGCTCAAATATTTTACATTTTCAATGATGAGTGTAAAGATGAGTCTGTTTAACTTAACAAAAATTAAACAATATTCATTGGAATCATCAGATATATGAAATAAAAGAGATGTATATATTTAAACGATATTGATGTGTAGACACAAGATCATATTTCATAAGTCAGTCACCATGTATCAATGTCTTGAAGAGGAATTTATTTCAAACAAACTACAAATGAATTTTAACTTAAATAAATAATGTAACACAAATATAAATACAAATTATTTGCAATACAATACGAATTGTGATTACATTAAACCTGTTAATATTGGGTAACTTATGAAACAAATCACCAAAGCTATACAGAGTTACATTTTTGATTCACATTTACACAGAGAATTTTTCCGTGTAGTGTTTAATTGAAACGTAATTTTGTATCTGAACAAATCGTTTCTATTAAATGAACTTTTAAGATATTCATGATCCATTCTCTTGCTTTATTTTCTTCGTCTTCTTTGAATTCGAATTGTAGTGAACGAGAACTCCAGTGGGGAAAACTGAATGTATTTAATACAAAATTGCAGGATCTCTTAGTAAAATCTGAAAACCATACAGGAAATATTTTATTTGAACAATTTCACTCAGTTGTCCCAGACATCATTGTTCCTTCACTTCCACACAAATCATTTTCTGTTCTCGTTCTCTTCTCTTCGATCTTCTTAACTCTCTGTTATCCGGCACTTCACTTCTAAATAATGATACATACTACTTGTATCTGTCGAAATCAGTAGTACACACAACAGGATGAGTTAACAAACAAGACAGTAAATTGTGTTTTGGTGTGGAATAGTCATTTTGTCTGATATATATATATATATATATATATATATATATATATATATATGTACTACAGACATACTTCAATATCCAATAGATATTAACCCAAACTAATCAAATTTCGTATATACGGGAAATCATTCAAGATTAACAAAGACTTAATGAACAGATTGTTCTAATGCATAGACCCGTCATAATTCTGATATTATATATACTAATTTATATCGAACGCGTTAAAATTGGATCATTCAATATTCAAGTATTTGGACGAAAGAAAGTTTCTCAAAAAGATGTTTTGAAGGTATTGGTCCAGGTTTGTATGGTTGCTTGAAATTCCAGAAATAATATAAATTTCTAGATTTTATCTAGATATGATTTAGTTGCTATTCAAGAAATTCGTGATGCTAGCGAAACTTCATTCAAACACCTCGTCAATGAATTGAATGAGTTAGCGCTAAAATTATTCAGTGTCAACTTAAACTGCGTATTTTTAGATATGCGGGTGGTATTTACAAATCGAAATTAAGTGAGAAACTTGGTAGAACTCAGTCAAAAGAACAATATGGAATAATCTACAAGTGAGATTTTGAAGTGCATATAAAATTCCTACTTGAATCCGAATAATGAAGAATTATAGTTCACGTAGTTTTTGTGAAAATATCTTCATCTAAGTTGGTGATTTCTGTTTTGTATCTATGATCTATTGTGTAATGTATATTAAGAGTAAAACAGTGATGCATAGACGATATTTATTATTTTACTACATTATTGACATTGTGAAATAACAGGTTTTTGTTCAATAACTTTAATCCTCTTTAGTCACAGAATATGAATTTCCTGAGTTTTGAATATTTATTATAGAAAAGATCCTTACAAACTGTTCGTTAATCAGTGATTTACCAGCTGAAATCGATTAGTGTCTATAAAATAGGAAAAGTTATCCTGATGGTCACTAATTGTTTTTTTTTATTAATAAAAGCTTTTAAAATTAGATTTCATGGTGATAGCTTGGAGGGAATTAATTACGTGTCTCAGTTTGCAGTCACACCGTTGAGAATTACTTATTTGTATCTTAGGTTACTTGAATACATTTTTACGTTTGGTGAACATAGTATTTTTTTATGAATATGTTATACTGAGCAAATGTTCTTTCTTCTTGTTAAGTAGTAATTGATGGATTTATGTTGACGGTTACTGAATATTCTGAATATTTTATTAGTTCGAAATTCCCGCATAGAATACGTTTTTACATGGTAATAATTGTGACACCATTTTTGCGGCTCAACAAATTCCATCACAAAGTCATAGAAAGGAGATGGATGGTGTAATTCCAAAAGTGATGTGAAATACTAATTTATTCAGTCATTCTATTAACCGGGTACATACAACTTGTCCATCGTTTTCAGATTTTAAGTTCAAAATATGGTTTGGTTAATATAGAATCATCAGTGAGAACTATGACACTTCATTTTCAATACATATATAATTATTTTCATTCTTGGATAATAAAACAATAAAATAGTTTAAGATAGGTAATATATCTTGCTTTTAATATTTTCGGTTAGGATCCTGATTAGGTCTCTAAAAATTTTGACGTATATTAAATATATGTTGTAATTGTAAGTTGGAGACTAGTAACCGTAATCAGTTGTTATTATTACCCTGTAACAGTTTTTTTATGATCATTAATCAGTTGTTATTATGACTTTTGTATTTTTAATTTTTCTTCATATCTGTTAAGTACACAATTATCTTTCATAATTCTCATCCGTAAGTTATTACCCTTCCTTCTATTCTTCTCTAACCCCCTTATTGTTGCGCGACCTCGTTCGATAGTTATTCTCCAATCCCTTTATTACACAATCTTTTCTCTCCTTTTGTAGACATATATTTACCACATAGTTATAAATACATATGTACAGCTTAAGTAAATGATTTCGTCGAAAAGAAAATCTTCTTCACTGAATTCTCTTTGTTTTTAAGCTAAAGAGTTGGAGACTTTTAGTGATACAAAAATGTGAATAAAGCGATTAAGCCTTATTTTCATGCATGAATTTATTTACCACTTAAACAGTCTTCCACTAAGTCACTTAGTCTAGTGTTTGATATAATGTGTTTTAGCATGTTAACCAATAGTTAGGAGTCAAACCATTTTCGTGTTTCTTTTTGCTTTAGGTTTATATTTATGTTGGTTCAACATAAAGTAATGTTCCTCATTTCCTTGCTCATGATACAACATAGTTTGGAAAATAAAAAGCTTTCACTCTTTAATAATCATCAAATTATTTAAAATGTATAAAAAATTAACGTGCATTTCACTGTTCTTAGGCCTGCTCTATTTAGGATTGAAGAAATGGTAATATTTTCACATCAGAAAAATCTTTTCGAAAGACCACCAATGGCTGTACAAATACATATGAAACATTCTGGTACATTCTAAGAACCTTTATTAATTTCCCTTATATTTTGCCTTACAATTTAAGCCGTAAATATGTTTGGTTTAATTGTTGTACATTTGGATCCAGACAGTGTTGTTCAAGAAGCTAATCAACTTTACGCTTTTGCTAAAGAAGTTATGAAAATGTGGAAAACACAGGTTAGTGCAATCAACTATCTGCTATTCACTTTTGCTTAGTGACTTATATATACCTAATCACTATACTTGAGTATAAACTTAGATCTGGCGTTTTGATCAGTAACTTCTTTTTGCTCACATTTCTGTAATGTTTCAGAAACCATAATCACCAATGAATTTTAAAAAATTCTACTGATTGGGATATTACGAATATATTATTTTTCTTAATAAAAATCTACATAATAGTCAGTTTATTGGAAACTATCAAGTCAAACCTTGGGACTGATACCTACGAACTCATAATTGTCACATATTCTTCCTTTTGATAAGAATTTCTGATTTATTTATAAGCTACCTTTATTTATACGTACAGATGATGATGGAGCCTCTGAGCAATATGCGTTATTAAATGAATTTATTCATTTCAGCAGTCCAGAACTCAAATTAGTTTATAATAAATATGTTTTTTATTATATATCAATGAGTAAAAAGATTGTGTTTCTGACGTTTCGTGACTTGGTGTAAGCCCTTTCTTCAGAGAAGCCGTGACCAGTGGAGCTAATCCATGTCAGGTAGAGGTAGGGATCTCTCTCAGACGATAGTAGATGGTCGCGCGATTTCGTGGATTGATTGAAGCTAGACATTAACATCGTTGGATGCCGACTCAGTGGTCTAATGGTTAAGTGTTTGCGCGTGAGACCGATAGGTCTTGGGCTCGAGTCCTGCATGTGGCATCGTGACTGCCCGCTGCTGAGGAAACCCATACTGGAACGAACCAGCCGTCTGGTGCTTCCAGATCTTTAATGGTGGTCTAATATCAATTGATTCATGATCTCAAACAAAAATCTATCAAATCAGTTTCTTTAAACAAGTTAGCACATCAAATAATTCGGAAGTAAATCATGACCATTAATTATAATTGTATATCGTTAAAAATGGTCAAATATTAATATATTATATTATCGAAACTTCCATAGAAGTGATAATTCATAATTGCTTCGTTTTATAAACCTGTAACATGTACAGTCAATAAATCACATTTATGACAAGGTATGTAATAATGAACGTAAGTTTATTTCAAGCTCATTTTCTTCAACGCTTATCCAATATTAAAATTTATATTTCTATTCAGAATCTTATTATTTTGGGTGATATGAATGCTGATTGTGGTTATCTATCCAAAAAGAAAATGTTACAACTTCATTTACGAAAGGATACAGAATTCATTTGGGCTATTCCTGATAAATATGATACAACTTTAGGTAAAGGTGATTGTGCATATGACAGGTAAAGTTCTCAAATTATTGTTTATCATTTATTTTGATTATATGTTTTAAAGTTGATATTTCGCTAAGAAATTATGCATATCATAAGTATTAATCATGGTTAAAATTCATTGGATTTTTTTTTCCATACAAACATATACGTTTACTAGTGTGTATATTTTATCATCACTATTTGTGATAAATAGGAACATAAATATCACTTTGTGAATGAATTGTATTAATTATCAGGTTCTAGTAACAAATTTTCAAGGTTACTTTCATGTAAATTATCAGGAATCAGACCAAGTGAACGAAAAACTCACTTCATTTGGATTAATACACTAGATTTCAGCATGAGAAATATTAAAAACAAAATATTTGAGTGAACAATTATTGTGTAACTATTATATTGATTATGGCTTGACACTTTATTACAAGATAGGCGGCCTGCTTGAGCATCTGGGTTGCCTGTTCCTGCCATCTAGATATTTCAACAAATTATCTATTTTTGTTTTAATATATCATTATGTCTATTAATCGCATATTATATCCTGGTGCATTTCTGAAAAGTGTACAACTTTTCGTACAAAAAGCCCAATAAGAGATAATGTGATCGCTAGCAATATGCAGCGAAAAGAATACACATTATTCAGATGTTCATTTACTGGACTACTAACATCTAATTGGCGATCACTCAATATTTATCGTCAGGATCGACCAAGAAGTAAGAAACGGAAACTTGTTGAAATACTTTGTGCTGAGAATTCTATATTGTACCAAAAATATAATATTGAATAAAGCTTATAATAATAATACTAAACAAAAATAAATAAAAATCATTCTGACCTTTATTAAATGACCTTTTTTAACTTACGAATAACACAATTTTGTAGTATTTATATTGTAACAGTTGCAAACGTTCACTATTTTGTTGGAGTTTTGTTCTCTGAGCTGGATGGCTTGGTTATGAAGCTTTCATTGTTCTTTTGAACGACATCATCAGCACAAAATTCAAATAGAAGGGAAATGTTCGAAATTATCCACATCTGACTCACAGTTTGTCCTGTAGACCTCGATCTTCATTGGTTATTGTCAGCCTTTAACTTTTCATTGTTTACTTCTTTATTCTGGGTGTATCTCCCATTGATTTGATTCTTGTTCCTATATTTGTCCATGATTTTTTTTGATCGGTTGATTAATTCGATCGACTTCAATGTGCTTTTTGATTGACCTCAGTGTCAAGCTTCTAAAAATTCTCTGGTGTCTTTAGAATTGCATCTATCCAAGATCTACATATTTTTCCAGTCGAATGTGTCTACAGTTGTTTACATGCATTGATATAAGTGAGGACATGTCTTGGCGCTTGACCTCTAATTGATGTTCATGCGGGCGAAGATGAAGAGGGAGTCCGTTCACAAATTTTTTTAACATATAACATTATCAAATCCATTAATGTATGCCTTATTATTGGCTTCGTAAAAGATCACAATAATTATGAATTTATAACTGTAGAACCTGATGATGACGTTATTGAAAACAATTGTTCGTTTGAATATTCTTTGTTTTTCAATATTCTATGGGGATTTTTAAACTGTTGATAAATATTGATTGACATCTTTGCTTACATTAACCAATATTGAACCAATTGAAAAATTTCATCTATTGACCTTGTTTCTATAGGCTTCTTTAACTTGTCCCTGAAGAATAAGGTTCGTGGGACAATCTATTCTGACTTGTCACTAGAACTTCAGATAATAAATTTCAGTTTATTCACCAGTGAGCAAGATTATAGTATTATTATATGGGTCTCATGAAGATTAATTGTATGTAATGGAGAATTTGTCAGAGTTTAACTTTAGTTAATGAATTAGTGATAATCATGTAGAACTGGCCAGTAGTTTCACTCTAGTAGGTAACTCCTTGACTTGACGCTACCAAGGTATTTAAAACTAAACTTTCCTACCTGACGTCTAACAGAGATTCACTACTCAACTACTGTGAAGTTAATAGAAATGATTTGAAAAGTTAGTTTGATAACTTTAAAAGAACTTTATGAATGTGATTAGTTTATATTCATTTTTCTCCACTGTCTGATATTATCTAATATAAAACGTAGATATAGATGATCATCGAGTAATGATGTGACTTGAATTTTTACATTTACCAAAATATGCTATAGGAATAATCGTTTCATTTTGAATAATGATAACTTGATCTCTCAAGTTAATTATCTTTGAATGATATCTACTATTAATAAAACGGCTAACCTTTATTAAGTTATAATGTAATTATAATGGTTACTAATTTTCATTATTTATATTTCAAACCTGGCTAATGTTCATACCAAGCTAACAAATCTCTATGGCTTATAAATGCATACATACAGTATAATTAAATTTGTCCTTATTTATGGCTTAATCAACTCAGTTCACTACTTCCTAACTCATATAATCAAAAGAATTTTTATTATAAATATATAATTGAAATTATAGAATAATTACACATGGTAAACAAATGAAACAAGCAATTAAACCAGGAAGCACGAAAGCTTATCAATTTCCAAATGAATTAAAAATTAGTAATCAACTGGTATGTGTATTCTGTGATAGTTTTCTTTTTAAAGTAAAGATTATAATCAGAAAGTGTTTTGTGGATATTATAGTAATTTAATAGTTGAATGTATGAGTCAATCAAAGCTAGACCACCATGGAAAACCTGGAAGCACTGGACGGCCGTTTCGTTCTAGTATGGGATTCATCATCAGTGCTCAGCCACGATCCCGTTCGCGGAATTCAACCATAGGACCTATCGGTCTCGCGCGTGTGCGTTTAACCTTTAGACCATTGAGATGGCATCTAACGGTGCTGATATCTAATGCTAACCAATCCAAAAAATTGCACAACCGTCCACCATTTTCTTCAGCAAGTTACTATCTCACAACGGACCTGGTTGAACTTTACAGGTCACGTCTTCTCACTAAAACTCTAGGAAATACCTCTTGAAGCCAATCACTGGTGAGTATATGATGATTATAACCAGAAAGGGGTTTTGTGGATATTATGGTAATTTAACGGTTGAATGCATGAGTCAATTAAAGCTAGACTATCATGGAAAACCTCGTTTAATGTTTACATTTAACAATTTGTGTATATGCACATTTATTTGTTTTTATAATGAATATCCATAGAAAAGAAATGAGAAATTTCACATAGACAACTTTAAAATAAAGAATTCATAGGATATTTCGGAGTAAAATGAAGTTTGTATAACTTATGCCTGGTACCATGTCTGTTTATATGGCTTTTCATTTCATTTATGGAGTTATGATATTATTTGATTATTGGTTATTAAATCGTCACACCGATGGTTTCAAATTAACTGCTTTAAATGCAAGCTATCACTGATATTATAAGCATTAGATTTACAATGAATCTAATGCAAGTTAAATCGATCGCAATATGAAGTAAGACATCATTTTAGGAACTAATAATCTGTACTAAATGCTAAAATGTATTGTTATACTAACATTAGTAATAATATGGTGTGTGCTACTTATATTGACATAAGTAGTATATGATGTTGGTCGTGGACAGGTCTGGCAGCAGAGGGACAAGAGGACCGAATAGTAAAGAATGGAAACAGGATGCAATTTGTATGAAAATGCAAGAACAATGAAGTCTGGGTCATTTTGAGACAATTGATGGACATTTTGCAAATTACGTATTTACTATATGATTGTTAGATTTTATTAACAAGTCCTGTAATGCTGTGTTAAATGCATTCAATTGTCCTCACTGCTTTTTTTGTTCACTACGATATTACTGATATCGAGGATTAATAATACACTACTTTACAAGTACCTTGGATATGTATGTGGAGTTTCCTAGTTTACTTACTTCTTTCACTGATAATTTTTTCGTGAGACAAATATGGAGCAAATGGTGCTCAACTCAAGTTTTCACACCAAACATCAGCATACTGAGTTTAAATAAATTTAGGGTTAAAAATGATGTAAAGCTAATGACTGATAGTATAGCTCGTTGATGACTTATGTAATGATTTTAAAACCTGTTATTTAAGAAACAAAAATTGTGGAATATTTTTGTTAAGTATAATCAATTTTATATTATGCCATCTGGAGTCTCCAGGCACTGATTACGATTATTACGCAGACCACAATAAGATAACTCAAAACTCCCAACGGTGTTTTCGAATTTACTGTGTCTAATTTTCTTTAACTTTTATCCTATGAAAGTTGTGATTTAATGTAGGGATAGATGATAGTTACATATAAGTGCCACATGTTTCTAGGAGCTCAATCGAAGAAACCTGACAGGCTTATTATTATTCCTTTTTAAATGTGATTTTAGTGTTGTTTTGATTTGTAATATTATTTTACTGTCTATCGATTAAAAGGGCATTTAACATGATTACATAAATAGAGTGAGGATAGACATTTTCAATTCTATTATGAAAATCAATAAAGGTGGAAAACTTTAATCACTATGTAATTTAGTGAATACTTGAATTTCTTTATAACAAGACTAGTAGTATTCACGCTAGTCTTATCACACATTGTTCATTTAAGGAAAAAGTATTTTTAAGTTTAAAATAAGAAAGGTTCGTTCAGCGAAGAGTTCTCCTTTTGGCGAATTGTTCTTGAAAACTGTACTATCGCAAATATATTTGTTTTTCAAGATGATAATAATTACAATTATAATAGCATTCAAAGTCATCTACAAGGTTAGTAGAAGGCACTCAAATGCAGTTATATTGCATCTTTATAATATTATCCAATCAATGACTATAAATCTGGAAAAATCAAAATTGTATATCCAAAAGAAATTGGTACAACCTCTTCTTCTACCATGATCTTAATCTTTTAAATTAGCTGTGTAAAGTCATTGTACTCATAGTAAGAAATGGAGTATTTCATTGTAGATTCAAACCACTGAAAAATGTCGGTTTGATACTGTTGGGATATTTAGAAAAATATCCCAGAAATTATCCTGTTAAGTCTAATGCTAACCTCGAACGTCAAATGATGTCATTTTTCTATTGGCCAATATTTATTTCACGTGTCATTTTCCTATTGGTCAATATTCACGGTAGTCCTAACTGTATAAATATCCATTTGTCTGTAAATTCTTATTCTTCTCCTGACCCCATAAACAATTTCCATCTACGGTTCGTGTTCTGATATATTGGAGATTGGGAACAGTATTGGGTCGTACTGGGATATCTGAAGTTGGTCAGTCGGTAGAAATTAGAGTAGCCACCCCGTGGTTCACAATAGGTACTCTCACGTTTTCAACGTCCCTTTATTTGATGATGATGTGAAATGAAAAGTATACACAAAGAAATATCAACTACACATTATATATGCATACTTCATTATATAATTATATCTGTACATACTTTCCGTTAGGTATTAGTGTATATTCTACTTTATAATTTCATTGAAATATTTAACATGTAAATAAATTCCTTGAGAACAAATAATTTGTCATCTTTTATTTCCTTCTTTATATGATACAGGCCAAACAAGTCAGTGATCATTATCCAATAGAAATGGAGATTAATTAAACCTATTTTCTATTTATTGCTAAGATAATTATGTTGAACAATGTTTCCTTAATGTTATGGTCAATGATTTTATGCCTATATTAGTTCATTGTTATTTTGTCATATCATTTTATTCTATATACTCAAAGATGTTGAAAATATACTTATATGCAATACGTTTGAGCTTAATCAATGTATTCTTTGGTATCACAAGTAATACATATACTTTTGACTTCTGAATAACCTTCAAGTTAAGGAATAGATAAAAATAGAATAGTGGAATAATAATAATACTTATTAACTCACAGAGTAACCAGCATTTTCTCTATAGGATTTCAGATGTCAAAACATTCAGTAAATAAACTACCGTTTTAATGTAAAACACGTTCATCAAGTCTACTCAGACAATTTACATTCTTTTACGTCGTAGATGGGAAATGTTAGTTTTTTTTTCTTCAATTAAAAGCAACACTAAGAAGCATTTCAGTTGGAATTTCTGGGAATTATAACAACCACTACGATAATATATCTTCTAATGGACTACAGTAAGCATATATGAATGCGTTTACAGTCACTTGTGTCTGCTGCTATCATTCAGAATGTTAATAATACGTATGGGATTTCCTTATCTCAACTTTCAGTATGTTTAATATTTTGAAATGGGAGCACCTTTAAATCAAAATTTACTCAGATCTCCAATACTGAATTGAAAGATTATAAACAATCAGAATGATTTCTAATTTCAATATCCTTGTTAGAATCTCGTTATTTGGTTTCAAAAATGAGATTGAAGTATATTCTTCAAGGACAATGACATTTACTCGCGTCCACAATGTTTCGTAAGAGCGCGAATCAACTTTTTGCTGAAAATCATCAAAAAAAGAATATTATTTCGAGTCCATTTACTAAAGTTTAAGACCTAAAGTTCGTAATTTCAAGTTATGTCCACCCATTTTTTTTACATTTATCCTGAATACAGCAAGGTGTCAAATTAAATAAGTTACAAACTAATGTACGACTAAATTGTAATAATTCAATGGAATACGATATCCGATACCATAGCTTCGCCAAGATCACTCTGAATGGTCCCATAAGAATGAATGATATTCTAATACTTCGAATTTGTTTGCAAATAATCAGTTTAATGAGGCTGCAATTGATTGTTTGGTACTAAAGATAAAATTAAATTCATTGGCAATTCCTAAATAGTTATGATTTCATTATAAATATAAATTATTGTCGCGACTCAGCATGAAATGCACAGAACATTTGTTGATCCTACATTTAACTACTTAAACAACAAACAGTAGCATAAAATGTACTTAATAAATTGCATGTTACGTGTGTACGACTAAGGTTATTTCTTAATTAAAATAAGATAAAAAGAGAAATCTCTATAAACAAGTTTTATGAATATTGTAAGTCATTCAGGTAATAACATTTATTTCTTCACACATATGATACGAATTTCGAGTAAACACTAAATTCTTATTTAATTTGTATTGGTTTTATGAATGCTCCCATTGATGTTTAGGACTGCAATTGATCAGTCTTTTATCAGCACACGTGCATCCTTAGTGGATTACCAAGTGCAACAATTATAGGCAGAATTGGATGGTGGCTAGCTGTGGAACTGATGTGTCGCGTCTCGTTCCGCCCTGGACTCTTCAGCTACATTCTATTTGAAAATACAAAATACCACTCAATTTTATGAAAATACATTTCGTCCGTGATTGCCTTTTTTTTAACTGAAATGGATAAATCCTTAATGATTCTTAAATTCTTACTTATTTCGAAAGAGTACAACATAGTTAGGAACATATTTATGACGCTTGATAACTTTTACCAATCAATATTCTGTATTCTCAACAACACTTAGAGCATCAGGCAAACGGTACTGAGTTCGAGTCCTCGAATGATACTCAGCTCTCGAGTACAGGTACATAATACTGATGAGTTCGATATAGGACTAAACTTCTATCTGGAATTCCGATGCTAGTCACCATCTAACCATGCTAATTATTATTTACTCCGGTTACAACTCCTGGATATAGGTTCCCGACCAGTCTTGAGTTCACCTATCTAGTTTATCACCAACTCCACTGGTTCCTTTGATGTCTCCCTCCGATTTCTGGAAAAATGTATTCTTTGATCCGCCTCTTTACTTTTCTTGAGGATTTCGAGTTGAGGCTCGGTTTGAGATGCCGAGAGATTTTTGCAGTGTGTCCTATTCACCTCCGGCGTCTTGTCCTAATTTCCTCTTCAAATAGACGTCATAAATTATCATTGGTGGATATAACGTTGGAAACATCACTCGCTATTTTCGTTGAGAAAGTACAACAGATCAACATTAAAATTCTGAAACTATATTTCTATAAGTCCTCACTGAAATCTTAAATAATTAATTACGAGTTTCAAGTCAGACATTTTTTAAAAATAAAGTATTTTTAGAGTTGAAATTGCATACGCACAAAAACGAAACTACCCCAATTCAGTACAATGGTTATACTGCTCAAAAACTAGTATTTCTTGGTTTATTGGAATTTATGAAATAACTTTATTTCCACGCTCATTTCTAGTGAAAGTGGGAAAACGTAAGTTACATAATTGCTTTGTTTAGGAATAGCTAAATGTTCACTATTTAAAAGGGTGACAGTTTTCTAGTTGTTAGCGAAAGAACACTTTTTAGTAGCTTTCAAAGGACAAAGAACATCCTTATTTTCTTTTTCAGTAAATTTTCAAGGATAGCATGGAACGATGACATCAAGATGGATTCAATTCATAAAATGATTCCATATATTCATTTGTTGTACGTAATAGAAAGAACTCGTACTTCTACAAAGAGTTTGAATAACTGTAGTACTCTGTATAGGAAGATTCTAATAAGTTGGAAATCAGTTCATGGGTTGTTCGTTTACATACATTTGAGATATGAATGAAGTTTCTAGAAAAGCATAAGTCTTAGGATTATTTTTTCCAAAGTGTGAGCCATTGGGACGTTATCGTAGCCCCATAGATACCTGTCTTCATTTTGATGTGTTGTGATGCATGAAGAATAAAGCTTAGTGTCCAAAAGCAACTAAAATTACTCACATTTTATCGAATTATTTGTGATTTTTTCTTAGGGGATAAATATCCCTCACCTTAGTTCAGAATTGAGTAAGACTAAAGGTATAATCTAACTACTAATCAAAAGTCATCACATCGCAAAACGGAACTCTGTAGAATATTTTGGCAAGATAAACTGATGATTTTTTAATGTCCTTGCAACCCAATACTTTGTTTAGTTTTTGCACATGAGGTATCGACGACACGGTGCCAGTTCAGGAATCTAATTCACATAATATGGTTCTCGACAAACAGCAAAAATCATTTGATTTCTCAGAAAATTGAGATCCCATGAAATGTGATAAATAAAACCAAGTGCATAATTTACTATGTAAACATACCAGCATAGTGTAGTAAACTTCTACATTCATTGAAACACTCTCCTTTTCACCCTGAGATTCAGTGTCTTAAGATGAATTTCACCCAGAAATCTCATCCTATTTTGTTTACCTTTCTAAATGAGTAAACACTAATTGTTAAGTATACATAACTACCACACAGATGAGTAGTGTAGTCTAGTAATAATAACCTAATTGTTACATACTTAATCAATAAGCAAGTGTTTGAGTTTTACATGGAAGATCTAACCTTCTAATTTAAGCTATAGGGATTCAGAAAAGAAAATACTTGTCTTCCTAAAAATGAAATTCTAAGGAACCAGGTAATTTATGTTTGTCATCACAAATCTATTCCTCCTAAGAAGTATATCAAGCAAACGATTTGTTAGTTTGTAGACAGGTGTAGAATAAATGTACATATTCTATTGTCTTGTCGATAAACTGGAATATTCATGTTTTAAAAAACTAGATGCGAATGGATTGTTGATTGAAAAATCTAAGTGCAATTAACTAATTTATCAACCCGAAAGTGGATTGCTGGAAGGTCCCTATTAGTAATTATCTTAGTAAATCATCTTAAGAAAAAAAACGAATACCAGGTGACTATTGACGACAGTCAGTGTCATATCAATAACATGACCAACTAAACAGAGTAGATGTGTTTCGACTTCATTTTCTTGATACAATGTTGATAGTTAGTAAAAGTCAACATTTATTCGTCCATTTCTTGCTACCAGATGAAGGGACTTGTTAGGGTATTTCTGAATTGTTTTTATGTTAGAAAAGTTTTATATTTGTAGTAGTAACAGAACAACCAATTTCCTAAAGACGTCCTTTACTCCAGAAATAGTGTCACAGGCGTGAAGTGAAGGCAGTTCAAGCATAAGATCTGGAATAAATATCAATCATAACTTTTTATCATTGGTCATGTCAGTCAGCTACAACGTGGCACCAGGCACATATATGCATCGGTTCAAGGGAAGACAGAGAGTGTATACACCGACGCCATTGTGATCGCTTCTGAGCCTTATCTCCAACCATTGTTTACGATAGTCACGCGGATCCCAACCAAGTAGTCTGCATCTACCGACATGGCTCAGACTAGAAGTTAGTGACTTCAAGCACTGATGCCATGTTTTGGTTTGGCCGCCCCTAACTTCCTTCCAACCATCCCCAACAATAGACAGCATTGAACGTCGTGGTAATCGGTGTTTGGACATACGTAACACGTTGCGCAACCATCTCAGTCGATGAAGATTCACAACCTTATCAACTGATTTACCATCATTCCCTAATACCCGGCGTCTAACCTCACTATTACTTACCCGGTGATCCCAGCAGACGCCAGTAATGTTTCTAAGGCATCTTTGGTCAAATACTAGTAGCTTACGAGTGTCTTCTACTCTTAACGGCCATGTTTCGCTGCCGTAAATTAAAACAGAACGGAATGCCATGAAGTATACTCGTTCTTTTATTGATAGACGGATATCTCGCCTTCGCCATAGGTGACGTAAGTTGGTAAAAGCCGAACGAACTTTTCGAATTCGTGCTGAGATTTTGTCAGACACCAACCCATTAGGGCTGATCAGACTTCCAAGATAAGTGAAGTTGTCAACGCGTTCGACTACTTCACTCCCTATCCCATTGGTCATGAGTAACATGTTATAACTAATTAACGTAGTATATGAACTACGTAGCACTTAACTTCCTATCAGACTACTGACTAAGTCAAGTTGTCATAAAATACCATTGACCTTAGGTTGCTAGGTCAAAAATTTATATATAAAAGAAGCTACAAAGTAGTCGATTTTCCCAGGAGTGACTAATCAGTCAGTTGTTTTTATAACTTTGCAATCTTGAACGATTTCCCACTTGTGTTCAGTATATAATTTTCCACTTACTGAGGACGAATGATTCGTATGACTTTTCGATACTATTCAGTTGACTCACTTGATTTTTCAGCTTTTTTTAAACAAACTACATAATATAACTCTTCATTTGCATTAAATCATGTGTACAAGGTATTATATTACCTGTGGCAAGTAGTGTAGAGTGAACGAATTTGAATTAAGAAATGCCAATATAACGATGTTTTAATAACAAGATAAATAGTTCATGAACGTTGTTT